CAGTGTCAACAACAGCAGCAACAGCAACAACAGCAACAACAGAAGCAGCAGCAGTAACATTAAATAATTGTTCAAAATTGTTTTGATACAACATCTGAAAAGAAATGAAGTAGGAAGCTAGCTGGTCTCTCAAGTCTAGTGTTCTTTCAGGTGGGAAAAATGCAAATGTTTAATGATCTACCCACTGTGAGCCCTGTCTTTCAAAGTGATGTCCTGTCATTTGTTTGTGCTAATGTCATAGAACAAGCATAGAATTTAAACTCTCCTTACTAGCAATTGCAGGAGCTCATTTGGACTCCATAATCAATTGTTGGACCCCATAATCTCAAAGGTGTTTTCCAATCTGTAATTCTGTGATTCTTAATTAAGAAATGACAAGAACAGAGAGATTAAGCAAAAACATGAAGGGAAAGGATATTGAAATAAACTTATTGGGCTTTTTTTTTGCCCAATAAGTATACTCTGAAAAAGCAAGCAACACTTTTACTATAAATGGATGAAGAGCTGTTGATATTGGAGTAAATAGAAAATTTAATATAGCAAGTTGTCTTTTCCCTTGTAGAAGGGTTATACAGAAGAAAAAAATATTTAAGAACTTGATAATATAGCTGTGATGCCTTGCTCTTGAAGTTATAAAGATCTTACATGCAAGAATATTCTATCCTTCTATATCTTTTATTCAAGAATTTATATTCAATTGCACATTTATCCATCTTTGAAAGAACATTGAAATCATAAGATTTTTTTATAAACATTTTTTGGCAGAAAGTATTAAAAACCTGTCGATTTGTTTCCTCCTGAGACATCACGTTAATAGAGCATCAAATGTACCTTAAATAGCACTGAATTAAATTTATTACTGCCAGCTATGGACATTTCACTACCTAGATCAATATATTTTTTCTAAGGAAAGAAATAATGGAGAGACACAGTATTGCATGCCATTAATTTCACTCTACTACTACTAAAAAAATGTTGTGGGACATTGTTATCCTAAGGTGTATGGCACCATAATTCTAGCAGAAAAATTAACCTACAGAAGTAACAGAAAAATTTCCATTTACACCTAGACAATTACTATAAAGCTGTGAATGAGGTTGATTCTCACAAAAATTTGAATATATTTCTAGCCTAACACTTATATTTCTTGTTTAAAAAAAAAGAAAAGAAAAAAATGCTTCTTACTATCTCAAAAACAATACTGAAGAAGATTGTGGGTAGAAATGATTACCCCCTGATTTTTAATTTGGGTTGACAAAATTAAGGCTTACATATACTTTATTATCATATGAGCAGAAGCTATTGAATTACTATGGTTTAATGAATTATCATGCATCAGCTAAGCCCTAATAGCTGCTTGCCTCAATTACACCACTTCAGTTCTGAAGTAATTTTCTTTATCTAAAAGCACCATTATTTAGAGTCAGTGAGCAACAGTACTAGAATGTGCAAAGAAATCACATTTTGCCATATGACCAAACAGTTAATGAGTTGTAAATGGCACAAGAAATCATTCTTGAGTATTAATAGTCATAAGACAGATATAAGAATATCTATGTAACTGAATATTTAGTGAACCTATAGAAAAATATTAGTAGTTTATTATATTTACAAAATATCAAGAGAGAAATTTGCTGAGATAAAAATTTTGAGTGTATCCAGTCATCTGCTCACGCCACACGTGAGTGAACATGCTTTTAAAATTAACTGATCTGGTAAAGTGAAAAGTGACCACTGAAGTGATTATTAAATCAAGATGTACATTATATATTTTACCAAGAGCAATAACAATTGACAAATTTTTGCAGTGGAGTAACTTTGTCTAATCAACAAAAATAAGTCCATTACTTTCAGAATTCTTTTAAATGCATATCCTTTACAAAGGGGTATGGTTTACAATCCTTCTGTCTCACTCTTTCCTCTAAAGGAAAATCTGCAATTACAGGAAGTGTACCCACTATTGTCTCTTTCATGCACGAAGAAAATATTTTGCTGAGCAATGAATTATTAAGTGTAGGCTTTCCAAAACTACAATGACATTTTACTTCAAGTATGATTTATGAGCACTTTTGGAAAGCTTCCTAAGTTTAATTAGTTTGTACATTTTTTCAACATCTGCGTAATGCCCCCAGTTTTTAAAATTAGTATGCCAGTAGGATATTACAGAAAACTTAAAGTAAACCCCTTTCACTTTAAAATTATTAATTTTTTTTTTTTTTTTTTTTTTAGGTTTTGTTAAGGGTTTGATACTTTGCTGAAAACCCAAAGTGTGGAAGGAAGCATTTTCTGGATTATATTGGAGGAATAGATTAAAACGGGACAGATAAGGCTGAAGTACTGAGTGTTCTTTGGCTCACCAAAGGGCTGCAAAGGAAAAACTTCCTCCTACAAGGTGTCCTTGGCCCTTGTGTTAAAAGGCAGGATTCAAGGAAGAGATCTGTTAACAGTGAATGAGGTATGAGTCAAGGATAATTTCAGAAAACGTGAGCCTTGTAAGTCTATGAGACAGACACTTTATTTCCAAGAGTGATGAGAGCTGGCCTGTGTCATTGCAAGGCACCTAACATTTTGAAAAGTTATTTTTATCAGGGCATTCTCCAGTTAGTGGGAGAATGCAAATGTTTCACCCATCTAGTAAAAACCTTGGAGACAATTAAGAGAGCTACAGGTTGGTCAGCCTCACTACAGTCCCTGAGAAAATCAAGAAGTGGATCCTTTTGAAATTTCTGGGCACTTGAAAAAGAAAAATCTGGTTAGGAATAGCCATCATGAATTTATCAAGAACAAATCACTCCTGACCAGCTCAGTTGCTTTCTATGGTATGCCTGGATTTCTAGACAAGAGAGGGGCATTAGATGCGATTGTTTTATTCTTTAGGATGCTTATTGTCTCTCTGTCCCAACACTATTCTTTGTGTCCAGGTAAAGATGTGGTTTGGATGCGTGGAAAACCAGTTAGGAAAAGGAAAAAGGAAAAAAGGTATTTGAGCAATTGGGCTCAGGGTAATATTTAATGGGTGATACTCTACCTAGATGCTGGTAACAAGAGCAGTGCCAAGCAGTCTGTCCTGAGACTGATCCCATTTAATATCTTTATAAAGGACTCAGAGGCGTGTCAGTGTGCCCTTATCAAGTTTGCAGATGGCACCAAACTGGTAGGTGGACTTGTCACTGCACTCGTGGACAGGAGAGCCATCAAGGAGATCTAGGCAGGCTGGATGAGGGGGCAGGAGCCACAGGTTTTCCACAGTGGGACATCCTATGCCTGGCAAGAAAGAATTCCTGACAGCAATACAGGGTAGGGTCTGATGGCCTGGAAAGCATGTCTATTCAAAAGGCCCTGGGCATCCTGCCAGACAACAAGCTGATCATCACCCAGCAGTGTGCACTGGCAGCAAAGAGAGCCAAAAGCCTCCTATGCTGTGTTATCAGAAGTGCAGCCAGTACATCAAGGGAAATTATTGTTTTTCTTTAGTCAGCTTTCATTAGACTACATCTAGAATCCTACATTTAATTTTTAATTTCAAACAGAAAGAAATCAATAATCTAGGGAGGGTATAGTGGAAAGCTGCTATGCTGGCCAAGGCACTTTCCTTGTGAAGAGAGGCTGATTCAGTGCGGAGAAGGGATGACTCCATGGGGAAACCTCACAAAAGCCATTAAACATCTATAGTGAGGTCATCAAGACAGGAAAGTATCTCTGCTTTCCTATTAGGGGTTCCTAATGGGACAGAGACAACAGGCATAAGTTAAAAGAGCAAAGGTTCAGACTATATACAGACTTGTAAGTAAAGATCACAGGCAAGTAATGAGCATAGTCATGAATTAGGACAGCTTGTCTAGAGAGTCTTTGAGATCTCCAGCTCAGAGCATCCTTGCTTGATTTTATGGCTGATCCTACCTTAACCTAGAGATGAAATTAACAGCCTGCCATGATCTATGTCATTTCAGACTATTGCATGATCCTCCGTATTTTCATAGATACAGAAATATGTTTATTTCTATAAAACCCTATGTAGTCTTATTTACTACATAAAATTACTCTCAAAGCATTTAAGTATTAATTAATTGCCCTGAAACAGTCTCACACAGAACTCCCTTGTGTAAACCCAGACCAGGGCCTTCAATCCCAGCCCAAGTTATTTTGGAGGTAAAATATACAGTTTCCTTATGCGTTGCCTTTCACCGTGATTTCCATTGGCTACAGAATAGCAGTAGCAAAGTATAATTTCAAATACTTTACCAGTGATTTATACCGTCTTCAGGGGATATGACAAACTCTCACTTCAAATTCAGAGAAGCTTTTATAAGTAGTGCAGAACAGAGATAAGGTTTAGCTAATTCAAATAACCTATGTTATATGAATTAGCTACTTTCACTTATTTTCTCATAATTACCTCTGTTACCTTGCAATCAGGTATATGAAGAAAAAGGCAGAATTAATGAGATTACTCTTTTGCACATTTAAAAATCTTCCATCAAATATGCATTATAATTTTCTAATTATTAAGAAATCCAGTGTTTGAGTTCTACTATCTTTCTTTATTTTTCATACCCAGCTATTAATGCTTTGACTGGAAGTTTCTTGATGAATTTGAAATATATTTTGCTTTGAATATGGAATGGCTTATATTTCAATCAGAAGACAACCAAAGGACAATAAAAAAATTCTATGGCAGTAAGAAAACCAGTATACAGTACTCACATGGGGGTCCAAGTAGTGAATAGGATGTAAGAAATAAACACAGTGAGCATAGGCTTGCTTGTACTGTGCCTGTGACAGCACGGCTCTGCTGTACACCTCCTACACTTGGATATGTCAAAGACAGTAATTTGAGGTTGGCTTTGAGCACACCATATTAAATAATTAAGATCTCAGTGAAATATATTTGAAGTTTATAAATAGGGTTCAATAGTATAAATAATGATAGTAAATTTAGAATTCATTCACCCATTTATACAGATTTTTTTACAACAATGAATTGTTTTTTTTTAGCTCTCCATGAGGTTTGGAATGGCACTGAAGAGGACCAAACATTTTAAGGACAATGTGTCTTTCATTTCCTAGTGTAAGAAAGGAGTCATTGAATGCTCTGATATTTAGCCTGGTACATATGCGAAGAGAAACAAAGGATGACATTTGATATTATTATCTTAATCGCTCTTCACTGAAATTTGCTCTCTTCAAGGAAAAAATGTCCAAAGCAAAGGAGAAAAAGCCCGTCAACTTTTATGCTTATAATCCAAGATCCATAGTATTAAATAATTTGCAATCCTTTTAAATCTAACCAACAATGTCCTTAGCATCCAGAGATTGTCTCTGCACAGGGAAAAGAAAAATCATTCAGTTTCTTCAGAACTTTGGAGAAAAGTTTCTTTCTGCCAAAAAGTGATGTTACCACCCAGAAATGCCTCAAATAGGAACATCCTGAAAATCTAAGTAAAGATGTAGGGATAGGCTGTTGACCTTTTTGGAGGCAGAGTAAAGAGGACTATGACTAGAGAAAAATTTTTTTGAAAATTCATATAAAGTCACACAGTACTTTGTACTTCTATTACAAGTATGACAGTAGACCAAGACTCAGAAAAATGTTACTCTCTGTTAATGGCACACCAGTTGACAGGAGAAAATTATTAAGTTACATAGAAAATACTTCACTATTGTATTCTGTGCATTTAAAACTAGCTTTTTAAGGTTATTAGTATGGTAGTTTTCATCTGAGTATAAAGACTGCCAAATGCAATATATGCGAAGTACAAAACACTGAGTTCTAGCTGGAAAAGGCTAGGCAAATTTCCTACTGTCCTTAAAGCCAGCAAGGCACTGGTTTTTAGCTGGCTTTGTAGAGTTTCTGCTCAGGGAGGACTGACATCCTGTTCAAGTATGGGCAACATATTCACTCCTTGATCACAAATGCAGGGATTATTTCAGTCTGGTCAACATGTGACATTTTAATAATCTGAATCCTATTGAGCCTGTTTCCAAGTTAGCATCACAGATGCTTTTTGTTAAAATCAGTGATCAGTTTTCAGGTTTTCCCTCTTTTCTTTATCTTCTTTGCATGCAAACCCTCTTTACATGTACATCACTTGGTATCTTAAAGAAGAAGGGATGATCCTGATCCTTTTATACACTTTTACTGACTTTTTTTCTGCTTATACCTTTTTTGTCAATAAACTAATGTGTAAAGTTGCTACTAAAAAAAAATCTTATATTATCTGTTTTAATTTTTGCAGTTTGCTCTGTTTAAATTTCCAAAAATCTACTACTTACTATACCTTACTCTATCTGACTAACGAGGCAAAGCTTGAAGGTAAGCTACTCAATAGAGAAAGCAGAAACATTCTTGTCTAACAGATGTTGCAATGATAATCTCCTTCTACTCTTTCAACATGCTGAGGTTTTAAAGTATATTTTTAGACAAGATGGTCATTTTGTTTGAAGTAGATTAAGTTCTTTTATGTTCTTTTCATATGGCAGAATCATGAACTGGGGAGCTTCCAGTACAGAGCAGTAGCCAAGCAGCTAAAGTAGTTTTATTTTTGATCACTCCAAGTGGAACCATAAGAGCCAAGGATTAAAATATGTCACATAGGAAATAAATTGTTGTTAACTTGAGTTGGAGGTGCTATGTAATATTTGAGCTGCACAGCCACTTTCAAGATGGACAAGACCTCAGAGAATTCCCAGAGTAGGAATATTATTACAAAAAAAAAAAACAAAAACATATTACTAATGAATGCTTTCAAATTTCCAGCAGGAAGTTAATTTAATTATTAAAATTAATTTAAGATAATTGAATTTAATTATTTTGAAATCTGTAATTATATTGTGATTTGATACACCACGAAATGCCACCTAGTAAACATATAAAAAGGCACAGAATTATTCTAAATGGAAAGTTAAAACGATTATTGATTTAATGCAGGAGATGTTCTGACAGAGCTGTATGTTTGAAATGGTGGCCAACTTATAGTTTATAATTCCCTCTGGTTTGGATAGCGAATACAGATATATAGAGTGTCAGGTCAGCCCACCTTTTCTTGCACCAGGCTGTTCTTTTTTATATTTGCACATCAGTTGTACAGATAAAAGAGCAACATTTCATAAGCCAGAGTGATATAATCAAAGTAGTATAATTTTGTTCCTCTCAAGTTCAATATAAAATCAATAAAATCCTCAAAATGTACATAGGGAGGGAAAAGCACAACAAACTCCATAGTAATGAAAACAGAAAGTTTTTTTTTTATTTTGACTACCATTATGTTTCTTTCACTGTCTTGGCTTCATGCCATAATCTCCTCGGATATTTAATGTTCTCCATTACTTTCCAGTCTGAAAGTCACTCTGCCGGTCAGACCTATCAGTTATCCTGCCTCTTTGCTTATACAGCCTCACCCCACAGCGACCTCTACTATGTTCCCTGCAACAGCAGAAAGATCCACGGTAGAGCAACAGCACTCAGTAATGAAAGTTAAAACTACTTAGATAGTCCAAATACAGTTGTAGTGTATAACCAGGACTAAGAGACCAGGGAATGAAAACCAGAATGTGCAGCATTTGGAGCTTACACTGTGAAACGCATTGCAGCCTCACAGCCACCACTGATGTGTTTGGGTTCATTGAAAGCATATTTTACCTGTCCTAAAGATTTTCATTCTTCCCTTACACCATAAAAATGTTTGGCATATAACTGTGTAAATATAAACTATAGTTATAATCCACAGGATTTTATATCCAATCTGTGCATCCATTGCACAGTCGATTGCAAAAATAGTGCAAATCTAAATTTTTAAAAATTAGAGTTAAGGGATTGCAATACCTTTTCTAGACAGGAAATCGGCCTGGTTAAAGTAGTTGTATACATTCCAACCCTACATAAGCCTGAGCTGTGCTTTACTTACATTCTGAAGACATGTCAATAAAATAATCTAATAAAATTTATTTCCTCAAATTAATTAGACAGAGGAAAGTTAAACAATAGTAAATATTTTGCAGAATAATTTCAGATGATAAAGAAATGCATGCCAGAGTCCAGCTTTGAAAATTATATTTGCTTGATGACCATTATCTACCACAGCTAAGAGAATGTTTTGAGAAATTCTAAACCAAACACAAAATAAGAAATTAGTTTTAGTCTTATTTGATGTTTTCTTCACTGGGAAGTAGATAAGATGGAAGGAAAAAGAGTGTTTGTGTTCCTGATTCTATAGTGGAGTATATAATCCTCTGTTTTATCAGAATGAAGCTTATTATTTGAAGATTGCCTAAGTATTTAAAGTGATCTCAAGAAACAGAATGTAGCCAATTCTATCAAGTTTTTAAACAAAAATAAATTGGTACCTTAAGCCAATCTACAAAGATAAATCTATGAGTCTTAGAAATATAGCTTGTTCCTCATTAAGGCGGCATCAGAGTAGGGCAGGATCCCAACATTTTTTTGCCAAGAGGTGCGCAGTGGAGCTATCATACCTCTTTTTCATAGAATTAAAGAATGTTTGAGTTTGGAAGACACTTCAAGAGGGCATCCTGTTCAGTCTCTCTGCTCAAACAGACATATCTAGAGCAGGTCACCCATCAAAATGGCTTTGGAGTATCTTCAAGGAGATACTACAGCCTCACTGAGCAATCTGCTCAGTCATTCTCAAAATCTTTCAATTTTCATGATCAGAGGGAAGCTCTTTTGTTTCAGTTTGTGCCTCTTGCCCCTCATTGGACAACACAGAGAAGAGCCTTGCTCTGTTGCCTTCACAGAATCCCTGAAGGAGTTTATATACATTGTTAAGATCTCCAGAGACTTCTCTTCACCAGGCTGAAAAGTCCCAGTTCTCTCAGCCTTCCAACATGTGAGACATCCTCCAGTCCCTTCATCATCTTAGGATCAAGAAGTGTTTAGGATCTTTTGCTTCCTTCTCTTTTTAACCCATGAGAAGGATATATACACAAAGACATCCAAATGAATAGAAATCTTAGTTTGCATCTGACACTCAGAAAAGTCTATGAAATCCTGACTTCTTGTGTTAGATGCAGCTTAAAATTTTCAAGGGCAATTAATACTGCTGATAAACATTTGACTATGGATTCAAGGAAGAATGCATATGAATATTATTAGTATGCAGTGAGGCAGAAGACAGGAATTTTTCTCTGTTTCTAGGCCCTTCTATCTCTGTGTTTGTAAATTATTTACAGCACTTTGATGATAAAAACTGTGTAGGCTATAATTTTGTTCACTAGAAAAGTTTCCACAGGTGTGGAGTTTTATTTGTGAGCCTCTAAAGGGTGTGCTATCTCACTGAAATTTACACCCATAACATGTAAAGAAACAAGCTCCAAAATACCATTCATAATTAATTTACTTTTAAATACATGGATCATTAAGCTATTACCCCTCTTATTGGAGAAGTTGTGGTAGTTTGGTGAAGTTTCAGCTCACTGGAGAAGGAGAAATATAACACCTGTTTTTTAAAAGGGAAAAAGGATGATACAGGGAGCTACAGGTCAGTCAGCCTTGCCTCTATGCCCAGCAAGATCATGAAGCAGATCCTCCTGGATCCTTCATGTAAAGGTACATAGAAAATTAGGAGGTGATTGGTAAAGAGAAAATCATGCCTGACAAATATGGTAATATCCTATGATGATCTACCAATCCTTACAGTGATGGTAGATAAGGGGAGCAACAGACGTCATCTACCCAGTCTTGTGAAGAGCATTTGACACTTCTCCATATGACATTCTTGTCTCTGAGCTGGAGACACACGGGTTTGACAAACAGATAACTTGGTGGTAAAAGGAATTGTCTGGATTGTGTTACTCAGTGGCTCAATGTCCAAGTGGAGACCAGTGAGGAGTGGCATTCCTTAGGACCTGGTGCTGTTTAAAATCTTTGTTGGTGATATGGGCCGTGGAATTGACTGCATGCCCAGCAAAAACAGTGTGGCCAGCAGGTCAGCAGAGGTGACTCCTCTACTCTTGTGAGACTATCCCTGTGTCCAGCTCTGGGACCCCCTAATATATGAAGGAACTGGGCATGTTGGAGCGAGTCCTGAGGAGGAACGTGGATGATCAAAGAGCTGGAATATCTCTCCTATAAAAATATGCTGAATGAGTTGAGCTTGTTTAATCTGAAGTAAAGGAAGAATTTATAACAGCTTTAGAGTACATAAAAGGGGGCCACAAGAGAATTGGAGAGGGTCTTTTGCAAGGACAAGTAATGATAGAACAAGGAGTAGTGACTTTAAACAGAAAGTACATTTAGGTTAGATGTTAGAAAAAAAATCTTTATTGAGAGCTTGGGGCACTGGAAAAGGTTGCCCAGAGAACCTGCCCCACCCCTGAACATGTCAAGGTCAGTTGAATGGCCTTCTGGGAAGCCGGGTCTAGTGGAAGGCCAAGGGCACAGGGAGTGGAATGAATGTCCCTTCCAACCCCAAACATTCTATGATGCTACCTATGATTATCTATCCTCTTTTTCTTTATAGCATTTGATTTAATAAATGATGTTTATATGAATACAGAGTCTGAATGTCTTTCTTACTGAGGTCATGATGGACACTAACACTGGTACATTGCAATAGTTTTAAGCTTGAACTCTGGATTTGGTCAGCTGCATTCTTGCTTGGTCTACAGCAATGTACATCCATTGTAATGTGGTAGTAAGATGCAACAGAACAGAAAAAGTTAATCCATAAGATACTGTTTGATGACTCCACATCAAATATGTAATTCTGGCTGTTTCCTATTATTTCCCCTTGCATGTCAAAAGAAAGTACTTCATGCTAAATTCTTCATATTCTTTCGTCATTGTTCTGCAGGTAAATGACAATTTGACCAACTCTATAATGGTCATTTATAGATTTGAATAGCTATTAAAGACTCATAAGTCTTGAATAATAGCATCCCTGTGAGAATTAGCCTACAATATTGCCTATGAATGAGTATGCATTATTGTAATATTCATCCTTCACTAGGCTTGAGAGGGAGAATGGTACAAATAAAGCACACAGCTTTGCTAAATTATGCTACATTCATAAAAAGTTATTTTTGCAATTTCTATGTAAATAGACTGCTCTCTGTGGAGAAAATGTGTGGAACAAGGATGGACAAGCGAATGCATCTCTACATGACTAGTATCTTCAGGTCAAAGGCTTTTAAAACTAATTACCTTCACAGTTTCAGGGCAGAAGTCAGATCTTGGCAATGTTAATGGAAATATGCCCACAGACTGGAAATTTGGGTGGTGGGATCTGCTCAAAATTGAGCAGATTGGATTTTACATTGGTAAGTCTGCATTTCAATAAATTTCACAGATTCAATTCAGATTTTTATTTCTTGTCATTTTTTTGAAGAATAGGGTGGATGATGTTCAAATTTATGTGTTATTTATATATTTTTGATGTTCAAATGTATGTATTATTAAGAGGCCCTGAATGTGTATGTGTGAATATCCAGAGGAAAAAAGTGAAATACTATTACTTTCAATTTCTGTGTGCTGAATCTCTTGCAATTATAGGTTCTCAGATTTTGACTCTGACATTGTAGCTTGAGTTAGCTCCTTTCATTTTCCAAAGTAGAATTGAAACTTTATGTTATTTGTGTTTAAATAATTCACTGGTAGTTTGTTTGTACTTTTTAAATCCTATTGCTCCTTGGAAGTCTCAATTCTTCCATAAAGCAGCCCTATCTAACTTTTCTCTTCACAAAAAACAATTTCTGGTCTATATGACTT